GACCTGCTATCTGAATCCAGTTATTTGTCATCAAAGCCCAGACTCTGCCACAGCTACACAATTTACTTAAGAATATCTTTTTTTTTTTAAATTTGTATTTATTTGAGAGAGAGAATGAGAGAGAGAGAGCACATGAGAGGGGGGAGGGTCAGAGGGAGAAGCAGACTCCCTGCTGAGGAGGGAGTCCGATGTGGGACTCGATCCTGGAACTCCAGGATCATGACCTGAGCTGAAGGCAGTCGCTTAACCAACTGAGCCACCCAGGCGCCCATACTTAGGAATATCTTATATCCTCTCTTCGGAAAAAATACCTATAAAATACTAAAAATTTAAATGCCATGCAAATGTTAATGTACCCATTTTTTCAAAGGATTAAGTGGGATATTGGGGTGAGATTTAAAAAGCAGTGGGTGAGGTACCTCCATTAGACAAATCTGCAGAGACAGAAAGTACAACAGAGGTAACAAGGGGCTGGGGACAGGGGCATGGGGAGTTGGTGTTTAACGGATATAGTTTCTGTTTGGGAAAATAAAAAAGTTCTGGAGATGAATGGTGGTGAGGACAAGCAATTTCTGATAACATTCAGTACCCCTATACCACTTCTTAAATGTTGTCTTTGCTCTCCTTCTTCCCTAGCTATTCTAATTGATCTTTTTTATATTTAAAAGAAGTCTGCATTAGAAAAGTAGAGTACTGAGGTAAGTAAAAGAATCCTAAAACCTTTTCTATTTACATAATAAACCTAGGTTATAGCTTGAGAAACAGTGCAGTCCAACAAAAATTCATTTCAGTTCCTAATAAATGTCTACCTTGTAGTGTTACTATTCTTGAACTATAAATTAATTTATTATAAGAAACTAACCATTTCAGTTCGAAAAGTCATCTCCCGTTCTAAAGATGATAGGTGGGAAAAATGACGATCATTTTCAAAAAGTGTTACTAAATGTATCCTAGAAAAAAAATGAAGCACCATATTCTAAGAATAAGAACATTTCAAAACCAGTACTAAAATAGTTAACTAAGTGTTAAAGTACAAAAATCATAAAAGGAAAAAGAATAAATGGATAATTTTATAATTTACTTAGTAATTTGCATATTTTTAGGCATTTATGATTTAGTGTAGCACACAGCTGAAATTCCTTAATTCCTTGGATCTTAATCGTAATTGTTTACTAAAACTCCTGTGGTATCTCTGCCCCTTCCACTCCATGCCTCTAAATCAAAGTTTAGAAAAAACTTAAAAAACCAAGTTTTTAAGTTTCACAAGTGATTCTATTGTAACAGTTTTGAGAAATGCCTCTGTGACTGTCGAAAAGCATTTGGAATATAATTTTAAATAAAATTACTTTAGATTAAAGCAGTTTAAAAATAGAATACCATGTAAGGGATCAACTTGCAAGTACCAAAGAACACAGAACTGTACTTTAAGATATTTGATTAGTGCAACTCAAGAAAACAGCTCTAGGCAGTGAAAATGGGAACATATGTGATAAGTAAAATTAGTCAGCAATTATGCTACTCTTAATTTACATAGTAGATGCTTTCCAAATAAATAGAAAGCCAAATTCCAAGTATCAACCCTGTCTTCCACTCACCTTGATTCACGTGTGAGATATACGTCTGGATAACAACAGCTATAGGAAATGTTTCTTCCCAGTATAGCCACAGTTCTAAAGTCAAAATCTCCCTGCAGGGGAGCCTAAATGGCCAGAGCAGCACTGTCCCAAAAGGATCTGATCTCACTCTTCCCAAAAGTAAAAATTCCTGAGTTCAGGTAGAAATGAAAATACATCAGAGGAAAAATATTGTTTTACTTTTAATTTTTACAAATAGATGACTTGTGTAAAGTAAGGTACATGTACACACACGCTGAAAGGCTCATTTAATCTGTATTCCTACAGCTGAGGCTTTATTTTCATTTCTACCTGATTTCTAACTGACAGGTGTTATTAAAACTTTATTTCTAAGTTTATGTCACTAAGAACCCACAATTACTATAAAATAAGGAGTTAAAGATGAAATAAATATGCAAAGTACACTAGAAAAGCTAAAGATTAAAGAAATAAAGCGGTGAATTCTTTGGTAACACAAAAATATTTTAATTCCTAAATACTATTCCTCTAACGCATCCATTTTGTAAATTCTGCTTCACATGTGTTTTTTTAAAAAATTACATGTACACAGAATGTGCACAAACACATTCTATACACATAGCAAGTGGCTATTGTTTTACTGTATGCAAACAGCAATGTCAATTTTTAATCCAAATGTTTTTATTTAAAACCGAAACAAATCTTACCAGTGCAAAACTCCCACAAATGCAGCTGGAAAAACAAAAACAAAAAGTCATTAAAAGCTGCTTTATTATAATATACCTTTAAAACAACTATTTCAAATGCATTCCCTTATATGCCTAAAGAGAGCACACACAAGGAAGATGGCTAGCTAATTCTCTCTATATAAAATAGGAAAAATTTACAAACTGACATAAAACAAATTGTGAATAGTGTTTACCTCTGGCGGGGTTCAAGGAGCAAAGGGAAACTTCGAAGTGTATGTTTCATTTACATAACTTGCAAAAAAAGTGATGAAATTATTAATGATTTTGACCTTTTGGGGGGATTTTCACTTTATTGTCTTCTCCCTCTTATTCTCTATTTCTTTACATACATTTTTTAAAACAAGCACATATATACACTGTGCTCAGCTCAATCCTTTCAGAAGTGACTCTAGCCTACAGGCTGGTCCACTCTAAACCACCTTCCCCGTGCTTGTCAGAAATTGTTAAATGCAGGAAGTTGATTCCTCAGCAGCACATCTGAAAACCCCTATTTATGGAGTTTTGATTGCCCCCAGACTACTGGCCTGGGAGATTCATCTACCGTCGCCCAGTCTGCATTCTGTGCATGAGGCTTTATCAGAGGGTGTGGAGATGGGTAAAACAGGAACACTACTGTGGATATGGGTCTTTCTGAGGAGCTGCAAACACTGTCCCTGCTGGTGGCTGGGATGCTGCTTGTTTTCAAGGATATCATAAAACTGGGAAGGGGGCACAGGATGAGGCCAAATTAAAAAGCCACAAACCCCACTGTTCCTACACAATTGCAGTAGTGTTTTTGAATACATGCTCTTTAGGATGTTGTGAACCTTTGGTTAATTTATAAAGTTTTGAAAAGTTGATTCTGACAATTTTCTAAGTATTTTTGTCACTATCACAGAGTGAATACCCTATTCCTAAACTCCTGCCTCCCCTATTTTATAATAGTACTATTTTATAAATATAATTTTATAATATAATATAAATAAATTAAATAGTACTTCTTATGGTTGTCCCAGATATACTCGGCAAGTCATTTTAACAAGCCACCAACTTTAGCCTCTTAAAAATTCAAGAAATTACCTTGACGAACAAAATAAATGTAAATCAATATATTAATAATAATAACAAATTATAATTTTGAAAAAAAATTCCCAATCATGCTTCTCCAGCTCTTGTTCTCCATATTCCTAACCATCCTGGGCTTATTCCTACCACTCTTCAGTACTTCTCAGAAGAATTGCTTGTTTTATACCATGATCAGCAAACTACAGCCCATGATCTGATTCTGTATGGTCCACAAGCTAAAAATGCTTGTCACATTTTTAAAGGGTATACAAATATGAAAGAAGAAGAATAAGCAATGGAGACCATATGTGACCTGTGAAGCCTAAAACATTTACTACCTGGCTCTTTATAGAAAAAGTACATACTCGTCTACGGCCGTACCACCCTGAACGCGCCCGATGTCGTCTGATCTCGGAAGCTAAGCAGGGTTGGACCTGGTTAGTACTTGGATGGGAGAAAAAGTACATACTCACTACATACATTAGCTCTTTCTAATACGTGATATACTCTGAACCACTCTGAAATTAAACCTATATCTTCTTTCTCAACTTGTCAGGCTTCATTAACTTTAAGATACATACGCCATCCTATTTCAACCATATTTCTATTCTCTTTCTTAGTCTCTAACAATTACATGTACTAGAAAAAAAAACTCTTAAAAATGATGTTTAAGGAAAGGGAAAAGATCAAATACCCTACTAAACCCATCTAGCCTTCCAAAAATCCTCAAAATACTCTTGTCTTTCATTCCCTCCCCAACCCCACATTCCACACCTGAAAAAATGGTAAAGTGTAATGATTGCAATATTCTAAATGCACAAAGCCTCTTCCAAAGATGTGATAAAAAGCATGTCTCCTGACCCCTATATCCTGTCAATCTTACCTCTGAAAGTGACCTAGCCTCATAGTTCACTGAAACAGAGATCATTTGAGGCAAGCACTCCCAACTTCTCTTATATCTACTTTAACATTTCTCTACATATTAATCCTCATTTTTCTGTTCCCTACCATCTCAGCAAAGGAAGTATCTCTTCTCTTTTCCAGTTAGCTTCTCAAATTTGTGCCTCTAATTCCACCCTTCTCAAAATTCCAAGACTTCACTCCATCAACTATTTCCTCTCTTGGAACCTGAGTCTCACCCTCTCCCCAAGACCTTTCTCTACAGCCTTCAATTCTCCTAGGCCTCAAAACACTTCCGTCGATCTAAAAGCCCTTCAAACTATGACATATTCTCTCCCCCACCCAACCCATAACCCCATTTGCTGACAAGATTCTTAGCCAGCTTCTTTCTTCTAAGTTCTTATAACTTTTTTTAAAAAAATGACCAATGACATTTTAGTTAGCAACATCAATGGCCTCTTTGAACTCATGTTTTTCAAACCTCTCTGTAGCATCTGACCAGATTCTTGGATTTCTTCATCTTTTATTACCCACTCTTCCAGTTCTTCCATGCTTCTGACCACTCTGTTTTTATATGCTTTTCTGACTTTTCCTTTTCCTTTCACCTCTTAAAACTAAGTATAAGAGGTTTTCCCAAATATCTCTGCTTTGCCCACTTTTCTCTCATTGGGAATCTTAATCTTAAAGTTTCAATTCACTTCTACATGGATAATTCCCAGATCTACAGTCCTCATTGCTAAACTTTCTCTGTCCCTGTCCTTCCACCTCACCACGTACCCAGCCCTCACAAAATGCTTCCATTGACTCTCACCTCTGTCCTCTCTCCTCCATTCCTGTTGTTGCTACCCTCTCTAAAACCACTACTGCCTGGATTCCAGTATTCAATTATTTTTTCCTGCTTTTTTCCATCCATCTCCAGTCTATTTTGCAAACCACTGTTAGACTAATGACGTCATTCTATTTAAAAATTATTCAATGCTAACAGTGTGAATGTACTAAATGCCACAGAATTATTCACTTTAAAATGGTTAATTTTATATGATGTGCATTTCATCTCCTTTAAAAAAAAATTTTTCTTAATGAATCAATCAGTGCCTTCTACAGAATGAAATTCAAATTCTTTAAACCAAGTTTTGAATTAGATTCTCCACTGCTGGTCCCGGCCAATCTTTTGACCTTGACTTTCCACTTCCTCTTCCTTTTGTATCCTGCCTTTCCACCTTACTTTACCTTTATGTTTTCTCACTTCTTTGACTTCAATTATGCCATTTTACTGGCCTCTAATACTTGTTTTCTGCCTTACACATCCAAATGTTAACCTTATTATCACAATTCCAATCCCACCTTTTCCTAAAAGTCTTCTCTGATCTCATTTCCCACCTCCAATCCTAAAGTTTTAGTTTGCTCTTCTGAACTCTCCTCAGCACTTAGTATATACTCAGTCATTATTTCACCCAGAACTCACTGAGTGCCTTCAGTGTGCCAGACATGGGTGCTCAGGCGCTTGTGTTTGGGATGGCAAGACGGCTCCGGTATCCAAGACCATTCTGATTCTGGATGTGGGATGTTATCTGTTGCCGAAATTAGACATCTGATAAAATGTAAGTGTGAATTCCCATCTATTATTCCTCTAGTACTTGTAACACCCCAAATGTGGAGACTCATTGTTCTTTAACATCAGCAGTCAACTTAGGATGAAAAGAAATCACAACTTACATTAGCAGACATTTCTCCACGTTTCAACGTGTATCAGTAGCCAGTCTGACCAAGGACTAGGCTCAAATTTTATTCTAATGAAACAACAACATTTAAATCAACTCTTAAGCAACAGAAAACGAAGAATGTAAATAAAGAAAAATCTTTCAAGTGCTTAAGTTAGAAGAAAATTCCCCAAATCTAGGCAGTGAAGTTCCACAGCAAAATGAAAGTAAATGAGTCCTGACATGAGGCAATATATTGTCTAATTTGACCTTATTTCCACTATTAAAGATTCTCAACTAATTAAACCAACACTTTATTTTGCTTTAAGTTGCAAGAGGAACATGTCTGCCCCCAAGAACTAGCCTAGCCTATCATATTTACAACCTGCGATAAATGGCTGCCCTGACCAAAATGACATTTTGTTGGTGACACAGGGGTGATCACTATGCCCCCAAACCCTGGAAAATGTTTTAAAACAAGAACAAAGGGAGCTGGAATTCTTGTCAGCGATTTTCCCGACCTTGGACCTTGTCATTGGGACTGCCCAGCTTGTTTGTTAGGCTGATCTTTAAGACTCACCCAAACCACTTGAACCGAGGCTCAGAGGGCATCCTCCGGCCCTGCCACGGTTTCTCCCGGCCTCTTCTGCTCACCTATGCCCAAAGAGGTCCTGCTGTTGACCTGACGTCTCCGCAACTGCTGCACCTTGTCGCGGAGCTGCTCCAGCAAACAGTTGAGGAACTGGAAGCGGCCGAGAAAGGTCTTCGCGACCACCTCCATTTGCATGCAGTTCTGCGTGTTCAGATTTCGGGTCCTACGCGGCGAGTAGTCCCGGGCGCCCCCCGGCAGGTTCCCCCCGCCTACGGGAAAAGGGGGCTGTGGCTTTTCCATCTCCGCCTGCGGCTCCTCCATCTCCGGCTCCCCGGCTCCGGTGGCCCGGCGCCGCCGCCTGGACGGCATGGAGCGGGAGGAGTGCACCGGGTCTGAAGCCGCTTCTTTGAGCTTACTCCTCGTCTGCCCGACCATTTTCTCATAGTCCCTGTTCGGAGGGAGGTGGGTCTGTCTCTGGCGAGGGCCCAGCCCAGTCGGGCGAGGTCCGCAGGGGTCTAACTCGGCTCACAGCGTCAACGACTTGTCCCCGCCGCCGTTGCGGGCCGCCTCGTTGTCATGACGACCGGGAAACCTGGAGGGCGGGGCGTGAGATCCAGGCCTCCCTGCTCTGCTCGTGCGTCCTCCACGCGCACCGCGCACCGTCTCGGCGCGCAGCCCACGCGCACAGCCCCAGCGCTCTGCGTCACGTGCATTCCCCGGGCGTGTCGTCCCCCGCGCGGCGCCGGCGCACTGCCCCACGTAAATCCCTGCGCACACCCTCGCAGGCCGGCCGACCTGTGCCCCGGGGGGCTCCACGGTCCGGCTGGCGGGGAAGCAGGAGCTCTCGCTGATTTACTTCTTTTTTTCGAGTTCAGGCATAGCTTTGTTATTTTTACCAAAAGGTTGCACGTCTGGAAGTAATTAAAAGGGAAAGAAATCTTAGTTGAAAGAAAGAACCATAGAAAGAGAGCAAGGGAAGAAAGAGGGAACTTTCAAAGAACTTTGGGAACATCTCTCTCCCCTCCTATGAACACCTTGCAATGGACGTTAAGTGTCTCCTACATAGAGGGATTGGCCCAAGGCCATAGGCAACATGTGGCAGAGAAGGCTGAGCCAGGTGAGTCTAACCTCAAGGCTTGGGGTTGGCTCTAGAGTTGATATCGCCTTTCCCCTTGGAGGGCGGCATTTATAAATCCATTCTTGAAGTATGTGGCCCTTGAAATTGAAAGTTATCTTATCAGGCAAAAATGTGTTTATTAAGGAATAGCAGAGAAATGCAATTCAGGACATGCAAGCTATGGGCAAAACGATAGGCAAGTACAGCAAAGGAGAGGAACTTATGAGGAGACAGTTGGGAGGAGTTATTTTGAACAAAAACCCATTGGAAAACATTAAGAGTGCAGGGTGATGAGGATTTCTCATTGGCGAAGTTGCTGGCTTAGCAAAATTCTTGCGGGAGATAAAATGTACATCCCTTCCTGTTAGGGCTTGTAATGGAGGATTCTTTCTAGTTCAGTCTTCGGTTGTGGTCTGTAATTCACCTCAGTGAGGGAGCTCCCCCTTCTGGCCTATAGCCTCCATTTGAAATGACGTTTCCCTTTATTAATTTTCACAAGTGAAAGTATGTGTCCCAACAGTGTTGCTAAGATAGAATTCCTTGGGCATAGAATCATTGTGCCCAGTGCTCTCACCTTCCTAAACCAGACCTACCCGGCCTCACATTCGCTACATAGCCAAACATGCCACAGCAGCTAGCAAAAATGGACGGAGTTCATTGACATTTTCCATGTTCTCTGGCACCGCTGGAGTCCACACCGCTTCACTTCCCATCTGTTTTGAACTCCCTCATCCCCACCACCCCCATGTGATAATCTATGGCTCATTATGGTCAGATTAATTTTCCTGATACAATATCCCTCAAAAATGTTCATGGTTTCCATAACCCACAGATGAAATGTAAACTCCTTGGCTTGCTCATCAGTGCCTTCAGTAATCTGCCCCAATCAGCCTTTTCCACTTCTCTGGACACAGATCTTCCAGTAATCTTGAGTGAGGTGCAAAGCATGAGACTCCATAACTATCCCTTTACTCATACCAGAAAGCTATTCCCTAGTCCCCTAGCTTTTTCATCCATTTCTCCCTGAGCATCTGAATTCTTTCACCTTCCAAGCCCCAGCCCACATCAATTCCCCCTTCTCTAAAGGTCTAAAGCAACTATTGACCATAGTATTCATCTTGTCACTTATTTAAATTCAGTAAATACTGTTATTAATTTGTTGTTTCCTAAGTTTTTTTCAGGGAGAATTTCTACATTGCTGGCACTGTTTGGTGCTTAAAATATTTTCTCATTTAATTCATACAATAACTTTGTTCAAATTAGAAAATTGAGGATCAGGGCTATAGTAATTTGTCCAAGTTTTAACAGCTAAAAATTGTCCAATACTGAGTTTAAAATGAAAGGTATTTATGGGTGGTTGATAAAAATATGTTACTGAATAAATATGCAAACTCAAAATACCTTATTTTATGTATTTTAATATTTTTGAGGACAGTAAGTGAAAGGCTATGATTATTTTTTATTAGAGTTATATTAGATTCGTAAAATGAACTGGGTAGATTTGCACCTTTTTGCATTAGAACATCTAGTTTGGGAGCCTTTCTTTTTTTCTTTAATCTTTCAGTTTCTTTCATGATTATTGGTCTGCGGTCAATTTGTGAAATTTCTGTTTTCCCATAGACATTTCAAGTTGGCTGAATTCTACACCCTACTCTACCTGAGATTAATATGGCTATGTGTGCTTTTTTTAAAAAAAAATTAGAAATTGCCCAATGAATCTGTTTATCCCTCAACTCTCTGTGATTTTAATAGGTGTGTTTCTTTTAAGCTGTATGTTGTTGAATATTTTTAAGATACTCTAAGGGTCCTTGTTAATAGATTATTCAAGTGATTTTATACACTTTATGTTTTTTTCATGAGGGGTGGGCATTTTTGTGGGAAGGAAGGAGTGGCTGCTACTGGAATGTTGACCAGATGTCATTTTCAGTGCCATTTTCCTGTACAGTTCTGAACTGAACTTTCTGATTTTGGTTTCCTACCCTTCAGTTTATTTTGCCTATTTCCTATGTTAACACTTTTTGGTCAGTTTATTTGTTTTCTGGAATTTCCAGTCGCCTCTTGGATCACTCACTGTACTAACAGAATAAAACATACTCTTACCCTTGGTTTAGCCCTTGAAAGTACTAATCTGGTCATTTTTTCTATTTAAAAAATAATTTTTATAAGAATGTTTAATGTATTATTATTTCTATTGGTGAAAAATAGAAATAACCTCCACATCAAATAATACATTATAGAACACTCATGCAATGAAGCATCCCTAAATTGACTAAAGTCATTTGAATATTTAATAATATGGAAAAATACTCATGATATAGCATTTAAGGTATAAGAACAGGATATATATGATTCAGGCATATAGCAACACATAATTAACTATATGCCAGGTTCCATTTTAAATCTTTTACATAGTGGACTCATATGTGGATGATTACTGTGGTGTGACCTTGAGCTAGTAACTTAGCCACTCTAAAATTTCTCATCTGAAAAATGCTAAAGCACCTAAAACAAAATACATGCTTAATTTAAAAAAATGTTCCTATATCTTGCTCTAGATTGACCATATTAAAAGTATACTGGTCAGTATTACTCACAATATTTTGCTAACCTGGATTCTTTTTCATTAAATTATATTTCTGTATAGTTCTATTATTAGACAGTAATGTGAGTGTTAGATTCATTAGTTAACTTAAAAAAACTGAGAGACAGTTGCATAAATAATTATGCATTTTCTTACTAAGAACCCCCAGTGCTCCATTCAATACGTGCCCTCTTTAAAACCCATCACCAGGCTAACCCATCCCCCCACCCCCTCCCCTCTAGAACCCTCAGTTTGTTTCTCAGAGTCCATAATCATGGAACACTACATCAAAAACTAATGATGTAATGTATGGTGATTAACATAACATAATAAAATTTAAGTAAATAAAATAAATAAAATAAAACTAGTTTCTCTTAAAAAAAAAAAAGGAGTAGATTTGTATATGTGAAGAAAAACATGGCTGAATAGAATCATGGCACATTTTCATCTTTCTATAACTTCCAACAGCAGTCACTTATTTTACTTAGTTATTTTGGGTTTTCTTTTTAAGATTTTATTTATTTACTCATGAGAGATGGAGGGAGATAGAGAGGGAGGCAGAGGCAGAGGCAGAAGGAGAAGCAGACTCCCTGCACAGCAGGGATCCCGATGCAGGACTGTATCCCAGGACCTTGGGATCATGACCTGAGCTGAAGGCAGACGTTTAACTGACTAAGCCACCCAGGCACCCCTACTTAGTTATTTTGAACAGACAGTTATTTGAGTTGTATTTTAGCTACATGCTTGTTAATGACAATAACTTAAACCAGAATGCCTGATATTTATTCTATGATGAACTGACAAGTAAAATAACACATTATAATTTGATATAATACAATATATTCTTGCATATTATATCCTATTTAAAGTGAATATGCCTCGTGATTTAGCAAATTTGATAAAAATATGTTACTGAATAAATATGCAAACTCAAAATACCTTATTTTATGTATTTTAATATTTTTGAGGACAAGTGTGAATGTACTAAATGCCACAGAATTATTCACTTTAAAATGGTTAATTTTATATGATGTGCATTTCATCTCCTTTAAAAAAAAATTTTTCTT